AAGTCTTTCATTTCCATTTTCTTTTTCAGCTAAAGCTGTCTTCCATAGGATCAATTTAACTAAAAAATTAGATCCAACAAAAGAGCCCTCCCGCCGAAGAACAGTCATTAGTAGGTATGACTTGACAAAATTTCTCAACAGTACTACAAGTTTCTCCTCCAAAATTAAAACTGTATGGTAAACACAGCTTTGGGCATTGGCTTGCTTGGATACCTGGTTTAATCATATTTCTACAAATTTATACTCTCTTTATCTGCTACATTATGATACCGATTTTTTAATGTATAATAAGTATGTTATCAGTAGTACACAGTTCTTTCTTAAGTCATTCTTTGACATATACAGACTAAGTGGACAAACAAATTCAATCATCTTTGTTCTATGACATCTTTAACTAGATTTTAGCTTTTTGTTTTTTTAAATATCTAAAATTTTGAACTGAAATATTTATATTCTCATAGAATTGCTTGGGTATCTTCTCCCCTATTTTCTTTTAGATAATCACAACTGTTAGTTTATGCAAAGAGGAAGAAGTCCGAGCTGATTCTACTTCGAAAATTTCATTTCTGATTCTACGTCTGCCAGTAGCATGTGACCCTCAGCACCCCATCACCTCCACAGGCTCTCAACTCTTAACCTATAAAAGCCTAGGCCAATCTTTGTGTTTGCTCATCAAATGCTTGTTGAACACTGCTATGTGCCAGGCACTATTCTACACGTTGGGCGCTATGGCACTAAACAAGTTTGCTACCCTCATGGGGAATACAGTCCAGTAGAGGAAACTAGCCAAATAATGAAGAAATTAACAAAGAAACAAATGTTTGTTTGTGGTAAGTGCTTTAAGGTAAAAACTAATCAGAATGCAGAAACAGGGGGTATAGAGGGGATCCTATTTGGGATAAAAAGGTTAGGGAAGGCTTCTCTGAAAAGACTTCTCTGATGTGTAGGAAGCCTAGCTCATCTTAAGAGGTGAGTAAAATGGCAAAATCTTGATATCAAAATCAGATGAGCATATACAGGCCAAGGCAGCAAAAACAAGACAGGTTTTACTTACAACAGAGATTCAACAAAATCCTAAATAAAACATTCGGTGACCAAATCCAATAATGTATTTCACGAGAACGATGGCAAGGTGAAGCAGAGTTTATGACAGGATTACAACATCAAAAACATCCAGCTGTGTAATTCTCCATATTAACAATTTAAAAAACAATTATTATCTCAAAAGGTGCTGAAGAAGTAGTTGATACAGTTCAACACCTATATATAATCAAAGTAATTAAATAATGTGTAAGTTCCATGAGAGCAGATATTTTCTTTTAAAACAGGTTCATAGACGTTTTCCAGCTGCCAAAATACAATGTCTGGACATAGCAGACATTCAGTACATATCTGCTGAATGAATGAATAAATGGATGAACGCAATTTTTTAGGACAATCAGTGAAAAGATAATCTCCCCAAAGCCTACTGCAACCAGTGCAATCATTCCTTTTCAAGTTTGGAGTGGACAAGGACACTCTCCCCTGGCCAGCCTTTGTAGGTGCCTCTAGTCAGAGCAACGGGGTGAGAATACCACGTAAGGGTGAGCCCTGGAGGGCAGGAGGTGAAACTGTCCAGGTCTGCAATGGCAGGACCAATGTTCCAGTAAAACTACTGGAAGAAGCAAAGTGTCCAGGCACAAGATCACACAACATTCCTCTCTCTCCAGGAAAAATGGCTGAGAAAAAGAAACTCAAAATAACATGCCACTTACAACAGGAGCTAAATCTAGACACTCTAGGAAATAATCTAATAAAGGAGATAGAAGAATTTGTGGGAAAAATTTTACAACTCTACCAAAAAAAAAAAAAAACTGAGTTACTGGAGACTTATGCCATGCTTGTGGCTGTGCTGATCTAATACAGAAAAAGTGTTGGGAAAAAGCTGAATGTTGGGAGGGAAACTGAGGCAGGGCTTGTATAATGTCTTCGGGAATGTGTCTAGACTTGCTGGCTCCTTGCTTCTAGCCCTCCTACGCTTCTAGATCGATTATATTCCCATTATCTCAAGTAGCAGAACATGTTCCATATAAAAGCTGTAAATCATGTGCTTAATGCAACGTGTCCTTTTGACCGCCACATTCACACCACCTGTTTCTTTGTTGGATTACCAATAAATACCGTAGGCTCCCAGAGCTCGGGGCCTTTGTAGCCTCCACGATCGCAATGGCCCCCTGGTGTCCCACCTTTCTCTCTCAAACTGTCTTTTTCTCAATCCTTTGACTCTGCTGGACTTTGTCACCCCCATGACCTAGTGTTGGGTCTGATCTCCCCAACAAAAATGTCTGTTCTTCCTCAAATTAATCTATATACATTCAATGCAAGCCCTATTGAAATCCCAGCACATATTGTTGGTGACTTGAAAAACTGATTCTAAAATCAGTGTAAAGAAGAATATATATCTGCAGCTCAGTAGAACGTTTTAGAAAAAGGAGAATCAAGAGGAAGGACTCACACCACCAGATGCTAAGAGAGTTCCAAAGCCATAAGGATGGAAACAGCATGGTACTTATACAAGGACTGAACAGATCAGTAGAATAGAATCCAGCATCCAGAAACAGACCATGGTGCAAAGAACTTAGTATGTTTTCAAAGGAACATCAGGACAGCAGAGAAGAGATGAATGATTCAGCAAATGGTGACAGAAAAACTGGTTTACCCTCTGGAGATTTAAAAACATGTTGAACCTCGGCCAGGCGTGGTGGCTCACACCTCCCAGCACTTTGAGAGGCTAAGGCAGGTTGATCACCTGAGGTCAGGCGTTCAAGACCAGACTGGCCAACATGGAAAAACCTGTCTCTACTAAAAATACAAAAACAAACAAACAAGTAAACAAACAAACAAAAAATGTATGTATATATGTGTATATATGGTGTCTCTATCTCATTTCAAATTCAAAAGTACCTTCAGTTGGAATTAAAGCCCACATGTGAAAGATGAAACTATAAAGCTAACGAAAGAAAATATATATTCAAATCCAGTATATTTGTGATTTGTGGGGGAGAAAAACTTTAAAAGTCAAAACCATCAAGCACAAATGGGAAAACTGACAGATTCAGATGCATCCCATGAAAGACTTCTATTTGATGAAGACTATCACAGACAAAATTATCAGATGGATGACAAAAGCAAGAGAATACATATGAAAATTCTGTTGCCGAAAACCTCAACAAGAAAGCCCAATCAGAAAGTCAAAAGAAAAACATGGAGAAAAGATAAGAACATTAACTTTACAGAAAGAATCTGCTAATTTACTAATGAAGTGCAACCAAAGAATTACAAATCAAACAATGAGATTTTCCCTTTCTCCTTACTCCCACAAACTAGCAAACCTACAGACTCTCTCAAGGAAGAGCAAGGATGTTGCTGGTGTGCGCCTCCGTAGCTCAGCCATTCTGAAAGCAAATCCAAGCCCCAGTGAAATTCAAGGTATGTGTACCCTGTGACCAAAACGCCACTCTTGGCTCCTGTCCCAGAGATACCGTGCCCAGGTACAGAGAAAAACATGCATGAGAGTTTGTAGCAGCTTAGTCATCCTTCTCAAGAGAGCTCAGTAAGTGACGTGTGGACTGCACATGTGACCGGCCCCAGGCAGCCCACCACAGTAATGATCTGATCAACAGAAACCACCATGGACACATCTCAACAACATGTACGGTGGTGGAAAAGGAAGAAACAAAATGGGATTTGTGGAACAATATCATGTTTGCAAACTTTTTTCTTTTTTTTTGAAACAGGGTCTTGCTCCATCACCCAGGCTGGAGTGCAGTGTTGCGATCACAATTCAGGGCAGCCTTGACCTACTGGGCTCAAGCAATCCTCCCACCTCTGTCTCCTGAGTGGACTACAGGCAGTCGCCACCACGCCTGGCTAATTTGCAAATTTCTAAAAGGCACAAACACAAAATGTTTTCTCAGAAGTACATGTATGTTAAAAAAGAAGATGGACTGGAAGGATATACATATATACGTTACATTCATGAGGAAGGGGCTGTCTCCGTGGAAGGGAAAGAGGAAGTAGCTACTGGCTGGAAGTGGGAAGTGGCTGCTTCCAAAGAAACAGAAAGAGGAACTGTTTAGAGTGCCAGGAGCTGGGGTGTTCAGGCAACTGAGTCTTGGCACCTGAGGTAATAAACCATTTTGGATAACACCCCCACCCCCGACTCATGCAGTTTAATTGTGTTCCAGTCCAGCTGAAAACAAAAGCTTCATCCCTCCCTGTCAATCAGAAAATGCAATGTTTTTAACTCCTATTAAATAACTCTACCCTGCTTTGTTGTTTTCACTGGATAAAAGGTTTTAAACAATCCTGGAATTTCACTCAATGGTTAGGTTGATTTAACTACATTTATGAAGCTTAGCAATTCTTGGACTATGCCCCAGGTAAAGTCGAATGTGTTTCTTGACGGGAAGATGAAAAATTCAGTGAAACCTACAGGATTATTCAGATACAGCTATAGTGCCAGGGATGGCCAACATCACTAGGAGTTACTTCTCTAAATGGGAAAACAAGAGACTTAGCAAAGGGGGTTTCATTTACTGATCATCACATTTTACAGCCTTAGAACAAAATCCTCAGTGATTCAACTTTTTGACAGAAGCATTCAAGGTAAATATTAAAAGCCTAGACGCCTGTACTTCCTTGTCCACTAGAAACATGTTTGTAAGGAAAATGCTCTCAGTTTCTGTATTTATTTACTTTAAAGGACATAAAAGTCAAGGCTTTCAGCCTAGGCCATAATTCTAAAAGTTTTAAAACTTGTGTGGGACCCTGACCACTGGCTCCTGGCTCCTGGTTCTGGCCTGATGACAGGAGTTGTCTGTCCCTGGGTTCCCCTGAAGGACTCGGTAGGCACTTGTGGATAGAGGTGGGAACATGGAGGTCATTTGACAAAGTGGAGATTGTTTAAGGCAGGTCTGCGCCCATCAGCAGGTCCGACCCCATCCCCACTGGGTGCTCACCGTGCCTTCCGGGTCCACGAGCAGCAGGTGCTTGGCCTGGCCATTGTGCATGCCCGTGAGGACAAAGGAGCCCGGGTTGGTGGTGCTCTTCCTGACCAGGAAGTCTCCGTCTTTCTCCAGCAGCCCCTCTGCCTCCTTCCTGCTCATCTCTCCTTGGTACCAAGTCTCAGCTTGCAGGTCCTCCAGCATCTTGGCATCCGGGGCTCTGGGTGACACAGGGCTGATGCACTCCACGGAGGCTGCCTTGCTTAACACGGGCCCCAAGGGCTGGTTCTTGAGAGCATCTTCAAAAGGTTCTGTCATCAACAACATTGACCAGCAACAAGTCAATCTCAAGAAGAGCAAATGATTAAAAAAAAAAATACAGTGAGAGAGATGGAAATGCAAAGGCAACTCCTCCAGAAGGGGAAAACAAAAACCACTGGAAAAAACTAGCTGGCTGGTAATATAACAAGAGCCATCATAACAAGCATTGAAAAGCACAGCCCAAATTTTGGCATGACTTTCTGATGAGTCTGCTTTCCCAAGACAGCTGGGAGTTGTGCTATGTGCCAAGGAGTCAAGCACACCCTTTGTCTAGCTAGTTGGAATGACTTCATTTTTGCATGCTGCAGGAGGCCATGAATATCACATGCCATGTACTTTCTCTGGAACTTCAGCCAGCCTCTTTAACAAATTCGGAATAAAAATCTGCCAATACCAAAGGGAAAGATAAGCTACAAAGCTTTGATTTTTATGCAAAACAGGAGCCCAATCCACCAAAGATTTATTTCAAAATCTTTGCATCAGGCAAATTTTTAAAAGAGAAAGCTTATGGGTATTGGGTGCCTCTCGTGTGACTTGCCCCAGGCTAGGAGCTCCACCTCCCCTTAACCTTCACTTGTTTCCCTGTGGAACGAGGCTCTCGAATGAGTGCTTGAGACCATACTTGGTTTCATCCCCTTCAGAGCACACTTCTCAGTGCAAGGCATGTGTGAATGGTGAGATGGCTGCTCTAACAATAAATACCAGCAGCAAAAGAAGTAGCCAGGCATGTCTAACTAAATTCCTATGTTCGATTTTCACATTAGGTAGTGTGTATGAAAGAACTCTGAAAACTGCACACAGTGCTATGCAAGTGGAAGGTAGTGCGATGATTATTTCAGCCTACACTGTCTACCCAGCACAACACAAGCAGCACAAGAACAGGAATAGTTCTTTCCTGAGCATAACTACACCCTCAGAGCCCAGCATTGCTCCTGGGACACAGTTCATTCACTATAGTCAACAAATGCTGTAAAATAAGCCAAACTTGCTCATTGTTAGTACAGGGTGGGCAGAAGTGAGGTGAATAAATGAAACTAAAATTAGCTCTTTTTGACGCTTATTAATCTTTGACAGATTTGGAGATAAAAATAAGTTAGAATCATTGGCAAAAATTATGTTTGTGGATGTTCTTTTTCATCTGACTTTTTTCCTGATTACCTGGAATTATCATTTGTATTATATTGTTTCAACACCATCACCACCTTTGCTATCATCTACATCATCAAAATCGTCAGCATCATCTCCACCATCACCACTATATCCACATTCACTTTTATTGGCACCACCACCATCAGCATCACTACCATCGTCACCATCATCATCATCACCATTATCACCATAATCCCCATTGTTACCAGCATAACCATCATCAATACCATCATTGTCACCACCATCACTGTCACTACCACCAGCAGCAGCAGCAGCAGCAGCAGCAATAGCATCACCACCATCAACATCATCATCACTATCCCTTCACCATTATCACCACCACCACTACCATCAGCATCATCAGGATCATTACCATTATTACCACCATCTGCACTGTCATCATCACTATCATCACCATCACTGCCACCACCATAACCATCATCATCACCATCACTGTCACCAGCAGCAACAGCAGCAGCAGCAGTAACAGGTGCAGCAGCAGGATCACCACCATCAGCACTATCATCACTATCACCATCACCATCATCACCACCACCACCACCATCGGCATCACCACCATCATCACCATCATTATCACCATCACCACCACCACCTTCACCACCAGCATCATCACCATCATCATCACCATCACCATCATCATCATGACTGTCACCACCACCACCACCATCATCATCATCAGCAGCAGCAGCATCACCATCACCATCACCACCATCATCACCATCACCATCACCATCAGTGCCACCATCACTATCACTACCATCACCACTACCACCATCACCACCATCATCACCTCACCATTATCACCATCACCATCAGCACCATCATCACTATTACTACCATCACCATCATTATCACCACCACCACCACCATCAAAATCACCATCAGCAGCAGCACCACCATCACCACCATCGTCACATCAGCACCACTATTATATAGAGCTACTGGTTCAAAATAAAGAACACAGAGTGCTGGCTTTATTTAGTTCCACACTTTTCAACTGGCACCAGCCTTTCTAAGGCTCTTTTTACATTCTGTTTCCCCTCCTTAGGTTTTGAGAGCAAGAGGAGAAATTAACTGATGGGAAAAGGGTAGCTCTGGTTCTCATTTTTTCATCCCAAACACCAGCCAATCTAACTTTCCTTAGGGTCTGAGTCCAGGAGTCATTGGTAAATTGACTATATTAAACAGTAAAAATGGTCTAACCAAATATGGAACTATTAAACTGCAGTTTGGAGGTACTAAAACAACTCCAGCAGAAGCTTGGAGAGCTACCACTGTGCTTTGCATCTTGAAAAAGTGGCTTCACATTTCTCAAGCTGTTTTCACATTTTTAAAAATAAAGGCACTGGCGGGACTGAATTAGGTGATCTAGCATTGAAGGTGGCTTCAAGCATTGAGATTCTACAGTTCTTGCTTAGATGATTTTTGTAAGTCAAAATGGGGTTCCAGTGTGTCTGGGAAGTCAAATTTGCTAGGGAGACAGTGTTGTTGTGATGAGGTTGCCTAATTATAAAGGCACTTAACCCTGTCCTCACTCATAGAAAACACCACAAATCACAGGTATTGGCCCAGCAATGCTGCCTTTCACAAATGATAAAGTTAGTTAACTTCTAGGATTCTTCATTTCCTCCTCTGTAAAATAAAGGTAACAGTAGTTATCATAATACTTACCAGTAAAAATTTAAAAATAAGTGTTTAGCACATGGTAGAAACTCATTCAGAACTAGTCTCCATTCCCTCCCTCTTCAGCCTATAAAATTCTCAAGGAATATGAAAAGCAAATTTTAGGATATAAAGCTCTTGTGAGCTTGTGATGCTCTTTCAAAATTCTTTAACAAAAATTTTCGCTTTCGTTAATCAGTTCATGAATGATTTAATTTCCTCACTCTATATTACAAACAGAAAGTCCGTGGTACACATCCCACTACATCGCTGTCTGCAATAGACTCCTACTACTCTCCTTATCCTGTTGAGTTTTCATCACTGAGGAGCACTTACCACTACCTGGTAATAGATACAGTTGTTTATTTAACCTCCATGAGGTAGAGACTTCGCTGGTTTTGTTTCCCTGTGTATCTCCATCAAGTAGAATAGTATTTGACAAATGGTAAGTGTTCAGTAAATATTTGGAGAGGGGTAAGAGGTGAGCGAGAGAGAAAAAATGAGAGAAAACAATGAGAGAGCAAGTGGGAGGAGGGGAGAAAGAGAGAAAACCCTCATAAGAGAGGGGTGTGTTGCAATTTCTTGCCTATCTGTTAAATGTTGGTCTGCTTCATAGACCGAGAGCTCTGTGGAAACACGGGCCATGCCATTTCATCTTTGCATCCTTAGCAACTAATACAGTAGCTGGCACATAATAGCCAATTACTATTTAAATGAATAAATAAACATTTGTGTATGTATATTGTCTCAATATATTTGCAGATCTTCAAGAGGAATGTCAATTCCAAAAAGAAGGGGAAATTGCTCTGTCTCTTGACTACAGAGAGGGCTATAATCCTAAACAAATCCAATCATCCCCCAGAAAAGTACAGTTAATCATCACCATTAATCAAAACCCTGCTATCAGAAAATTTAGTAATTACACAGATTTCAAATAAAAGGCAGGGTGAAAAGCAATCTCAAAAGAGAAGAAAACCAGAGAAAAACAGAAACCCACTCATGTCAAAGAGGTCTTTCCTCGGGCTGCTCTCAGCGCTGCTGACCGCAGTCGGCCAGGCCTGCGCTGGGATCTGCTGGGTGTTGACGTAGGTGGGTGCTTCTCCTGTGGGGGCCACGTGCAGTTTCCCTTCTGGCATGCTGTAGATTTCCAACGACCCTGCAACAAGAAAGTGAGCCCCTTTTCTTTTATGATAGTGACACTATTCAAGCCACCCAGCCCTTCACAGAGAAGCTCTTCCGCTTGCAAATGGGAAAACTCCTCCTTCAGATTCCTATCGGTGATATTGTCCTCTTCTGAGCTTATCACTGCTGTAACCCGGCCAAGATGTTTTCCAGTCCTTCATATCAACATGGGATCTGCCAGCCAATGTCAGGATGGACACCTTGATGGCTCCACGGTGATGGCCTTAGCAAAGATTCTGGCCCTTGCTGCCCTAAGACGGCAGGAGCCTGGCAGGCAGAACATGTCTGGTCTCCTCCTCTCCTTGACAAATGCTTCAAGATCAGATAACTGAGCAGAAGGACCACAAGCCTTATTTTAATTGATCTCAGTTTTTTTTTTTTTTTTTTAATGTAAGCAAATGCTTTATAAATTAACTTCATTCAAGCAATACAATAGAAGCTCTGTTCTATTGTAGGGAGGAACTGAGAGAGACTCCTTCCTTACAAAATAGGGCTGCAGTTATTGCTTCTGGGTCTGTGAAGGAAGCCCAGGGTGGGTGTGCAAGGGAAGAGCCCCCTCTGCTGAGGCAGTGACGCTGCCTCATGGGACTTCACAGCTAGGCAATGGGTTTGCTGAGGCTGGGCCCGGGCTTTTCTGTCACCCAGACCCAGTAGCCCGAGAATGCCTGCTCAGATCCTTCTCGGAGTCTTTTTGCGTGTGCGCCCTGTCTCCAGTCTTCTTACATAAACATGTTCGCAAGAACGCCCTGTGGCGTTCACATTTCTGGAAAGAGGGTGTCTTTCACACCCTATGGGCGGTGGTGTGTTGAAGCCAGCTCAATCCAGCTGGCAAGAGTTGGTTCAGGGCTTTTTAAAAAGCGTTCCCAAGAGCCTGTGGCTGGACGTTCGCCAGCACACCACTGTCTCCCAGCCTGTAGGTGTGAGAATGAAGTGTCGTGCTAACATTCCCTCACTGGGGAGCACCACCTGCACGGACTGTGTTTCTACTCTCCTAGTTCTCAACATGCTTTCTATATTGAAGAGTCTAGTCAGATTACGCGTCCTTGCTTAGTAACAGCTATTTGCAGTTTACACCTTTGTGTACATTGCAAACCAATCAGCCTTTAGAAAAGAATTTCACAAACAATATGTTAAAAGGAGAAGATCAGGAGCCCAAATGTATAATCTTCCTGACTACCCTTTCCCACCGGAGATGACAGCAGATGCTGAGCCGGGGCAGGAGGACATGTGCCATGGTAATACCTGAAGTTCACGTCCATTGGGGATAATATCTGCCAGCAAATTAATAAGTGACATTCTAAGTTGTTCTGTGAGAAAAGATATTTATTGTTTTCTTTTCTTTTTTTTTCTTTTTTTTTGGCAGAGTCTCACTCTGTCGCAGAGGCTGGAGTGCAGTGGCACGATATCGGCCCACTGCAGCCTCCACCTCCCAGGTTCAAGTGATTCTCCTGCCTCAGCCTCCCGAGTAGCTAGGATTACAGGTACGCACCACCATACCTGCCTAATTTTTTGTATTTTTAGTAGAGATGGGGTTTCACCATGTTGGCCAGGCTGACCTGGAACTCCTGACCTCATGTAATCCTCCTGACTCTGCTTCCCAAAGTGCTGGAATTACAGGCCTGAGATACCACACCCCACCTATTTATTGTTTTCAAAGAAGAGTTGGAAATTTATTGAGAGCTCTGAGTCTCAAGTTCCAGGCCAGGAGCTCATTCTGCTACATCATCTGTTCTCGATCTGGCTGGAATAACTTGAATATATCAAAAACAAGACCTATTTTAAAATAAACCTGACATATTTTGCAATAAAGTAAATATATAACAGAAATAATGTGTCTCCTTTATTCTTTAGCAGTTATTGTATGTCTATGCACACACATGTTATGGGAATACATTTTAAATGTATCTAGAACAAGGATAAATAGCCATAGTGAAAATGCCCCTCTGGCAAAGTTATGGCTCTGATTTGCTATTTCCAGCCTATTCTGAGGCAGAACATGTGGTGGCTTCTGCCAGGCCTTATGTTTTATTGACTGGGCCAGCACTGTGGGTCTTCCTGCATCTGGGGCAGGCAAGACATGAAATTCTCTTACACAGAGGACATTTAAAAAATGTATTGTCATTTGCTTCCTGGCATAAATAGCTATAATGCAGGAATAAGCCTCAATATTAAACCAATATGTTTAAATTTAGATACACAGAAGCATCAGTTGCCCCCATCCCCTTCAGATCTTACGGACTTAGTAGCCAGGATCCCAGAGCTATTGAAAGAGTTATAAATTTTTTTGAGAAGGGAAAAAGGTTAAAATTAAAAGACATTCTTAAAGGATTAGACTGAGATATAAATACATTCATACATATTTGTATGTGTATATATAACTGTCTAGAGAATAAAGACTTACGTGACCAATTAGCAGTTACTTCTTAGATAGTTGTATCTAAATTATTATGGCTGTATCTAAATATATTTGAATCATTTGCAGATATGTGACTTATAGACACTTATATCAACATTAGTTATAATGTATGATGTAGGTGCATGTTAGATGCAGAAGTGTTCTCTAAGAGTATCCAGGGCCTGTGAGAGATGCATATCCCTGGTACCACATCTGCCTCAATCCCTAGCTTAGAGTAGGGGGCTTCACATTCCCCAAAAAGCGGACCCTGAGTAAAGGGAAGGAGAATGAGACAAGGAAGGAAAGGCAACAATTTGTTGTGGGAGTCACTGGGGCTCAACCTCAACCTTAGAGTTGCCTTACGAGTTCCCATCAGAAACTGGGGTGAAGGCGTGCCTGAGATGTCAACTTCTCAGCACCCCTGGGCACGGAAGCTTTCCCAGCATGGAGGTGTACAGTCTCAGGGGCATGAGGCAGTGAGTGCCCACGAGGTGTGAATGGTCGTGGAGCTGCAGGGAGGCACCACATAATTGGTGCCAGGAGATGTCTACAACACTGTTGTGTTTTTTTTTTTTTTTCTTTTTTGAGACAGGGTTTTGCTGGAGTGCAATGGCGTGATCTCGGCTCACTGCAACCCCCACCTCCTGGGATCAAGTGATTCTCCTGCCTCAGCCTCCCAAGTAGCTGGGATTATAGGCACCTGCCACCACGCTCAGCTAATTTTTTTTTTATTTAGTAGAGTTAGGGTTTCACTGTGTTAGTCAGCCTGGTCTCGAACTCTTGACCTCAGGTGATCCTCCCGAACTCTTGACCTCAGGTGATCCTCCCGCCTCAGCCTCCCAAAGTGCTGGGATTACAGGTGTGCACCACTGTGCATTGCGCCACATTGTTGCCTCTGTTTCTATGGTCTAGTCAGGATTCTATAGCAACACACACAGCAAATATATCCAGGGGTCATTTTGTCAGTCCACAGAAAATAGGCGATCCAGTGGTGAGCATGTTACTTTTGAAAAGTGTCTTTTGTGTTTCTCACCCATCTCACCTTGTCTCTCATTTTGCCTGAAAGGTGTTTGCTGCCAGTCTTCGCCAAAGGTGTCTCCTAAGTGTCTTCCCTGGTAATAAGTCTGCTCTTTTCCTGCAAACTAGAGACACATGTAAATAACACAGAACGAAAAAATTATTTTCTTCTCATTTCCCCACTTTTGAAAGCCACAAGACAGTCAGCAAATTGATGCTTAAGGTGGATCAAATCCTCTGATACACCCAATTTTCCCTTCATGCCTCACGGTTGCCATTAAGATTTGGGAAATAAGTTTGTGTGAGTGTGAGGAAAAGGCTGCATCTCCATCAAAATTACACATGCCCCCCCTTGTTTTCATTACCCCCACCACCCCTCCCGAAGTGTGACTGTAAATCAAGCTCTTCCATATGTATGTCCTAAAATAAATTTCAATTACAGAGTATCTATGTGTCAGAACACACTTCCCACATAACACATACGCCCATGATTGTTCACACTTGGGCAAGTCCACTCTGTAAACCAGGAAACTTCCTTCAAAAAATCAGGAAATTCCCTCTCAGTGTCAGATCCCTGAGCTCGATGTTATTTTGCCATTTTTAGTGGTGCCATTATAATTCACAAAAGGTAGTAATGTTAAAAATTTCCTATAACAAAATAGAAATATCATAACTCTAAAAAGCAATTGCCTTACTAGAATTTTGAGTTGGACATAAAGCAAGGGAATGAATAAAATAGAAAACTCATAAAATTCTCATCCTTTTAAGGGTCTATATTCACTCCTTTTCAGAGAACCCAATGCCTCCCAAGCCTTTTTAAAATCTTAAATTCTCTCTTTCCCTCACTGAGATCACAGTATGATGGAATACATGTGAGGGTACAGAGGACACCCCCAGACTCATATCCCAGGAATCACAACACAGTTCCAAAGCATTTGGCTAATGCTTTATGATGTTAACACAAAGCCTCTCATCTGCATGCCTCATGAAATCCAGTGAGAGAAAGTTCACGATTTACCGTGTCAAAAATGGAATAGAACATCAGCCTGAAATAAAACAAACAAACAAACAAACAAAAACAAAAGGAAATAAAGTTGAGTTAGCCTCCATTCCTTATAAAGAGAAAAAAATATAAAACTAACCTGTGCAGTGTCAGGAGCATGGGGTCTGGGTTTCAGTCGAGCATCAAGAAAGCCCCCTGGAGGAGGCATCTTGCTTGGGATGCTGTTGTAGTACGGGTGGTCTGAGCCTTCTCCCTCCTCTTCTGTCCATGGCTCATCCAGACTCTGCATTCTGTTAAAGGAAGATTTCCAAGGGCTTTAGCCAAAAGTTGAGCTTGCAGCCAAAACCAACAAATCTAATGTTAGCGCCTGTTATCAAGAAAAGAGAGTTTAGTCAGTGCCTCTTCAGCCATCCAGGTCTCACGCATAGATGAAAAGCAGACGAGTGGTTTAGCAAAAGATCTCTGCCATATTCAGAGTTTCACTCACTGGAACATTTCAGTCATGTTTGAATGAGGTCCTTTTGTAAAAGGACATTTTAATTAAGAAAGAAATTATGCCTAAGGATAGCCAGCTCCTCAAGGGACAGCACACATTTTTGTAAGCCATGAAATTGATCCCAAACAAAACCAACTACAAAATGGAAATTTAGTGATAAGAGGGAAAATGGTAGAATACGAACCTCTCAAAATTCTCCCTTCTGCTATTTGAAAAAACTGTTGTGCTTCAAAGGACAATGTCAAGAAAGTAAAAATACAAACCGCAAAATGGGAGAAAATATTTGCTAACATGTATCTTAAAAGAGACATGTATCTAGAATATATAAAGTACTCCTACAACTCAACAATGAAAAGACAGCCCGATCTTAAAAAGGAGCTAAGGTTTTGAGCAGACTTTTCTCCAGATACACAAAAGGCCAATAAGCACATGAAAAGAAGCTCGACATCGTTAGTCATCAGGAAAATGCACATCAAAACCACAACCAGAGACCACTTCATCCCCACTAGGGTAGCTATAATCAAAGAGATAGACAAGAAAAATTATTGATAAGAACATGGGGATATTAGAACCCTCACACATTGCTGATGAGACTGTAAAATGGTGCAGCCACTTTGGAAAATAGCTTTGCAGTTTCAACATAACCATATGACCACAGAATTTCACTCCCAGTTATATACATAAGAATATTGCAACATATGTCCACAAAGAAACTTGTATACATCTTCACAGCAGCAATGTTCATAAGAGTTAAAAGGTAGGGCTGGGCGCAGTGGCTCACACCTGTAATCCCAGCATTTTGGGAGACCAAGGCTGGCAGATCATGAGGTCAGGAGTTCAAGACCAGCCTGGCCAATATGGCGAAACCCCATCTCTACTAAAGATACAAAAATTAGCCGGGCGTGGTAGCACGTGTCTGTAATCCCAGCTACTCGGGAGGCTGAGACAGGAGAATTGCTTGAACCTGGGAGGCAGAGGTTGCAGTGAGCCGAGATCGCGCCACTGCACTCCAGCCTGGGTGACAGAGCAAGACTCCATCTCAAAAAAAAAAAAAAAAAAAAGGTAGAAGCACCCAACTGTCCACAAACTAATGACTGGATGAACAAAAGGTGACATATCTATACATTCAAATATTACTAAGAACTCTAAAATGGAAGAAATACTGACAGATCTTACATGAATGAATCTTGAAAATATTCTTCTAAGTGAAAGAAGCCAGATACATACAGTATGATTCCATTTATATGAAATGTCCAGAATGGGCAAATCCATAGAGACAGAAAGTAGTTTAGAGGTTGGTGGGAGAGGAGGGAGTGGAGAATGGGGAGTAATTGCTGATGAGTATAGAGTTTCTTTGGGGGGGTAATGAAAATGTTCTGGAATTAATGGTGATAACTGTACAACTTTTGAATATAACAAATCAACTGAATTGTAAACTTTAAAAGGGCGATTTGATTATATATGAATTATCAATTTTAAAAATAATAATAAATGGAGTCTTAGTGGCATCTGATTTGTTTTTCAAAGTCTTCTTCGGTTTTGGGTTGAAATACCCTTGGATTTCTGTAAGGAAAATCCTCCAAGAAAAATCAGACCATACCAAAAAATCCACTGATGGATTGAGTGATTGATTTTTTTGAGATAGGGTCTCGCTCTGTCACCCAGGTTGGAGTGCAGTGGTGTGATCATGGCTCACTGCAACTTCTGCCTCCCAGGCAAGCCATCCTCCCACTTCAGCCTCCTGAGTAGCTGGAACTACAGGCACGCACCCTTGCACCTGGCTAATTTTTGTATTTTTAGTAGAGATGGGGTTTTGCCATGTTGCCCGGGCTGGTCTCACAGTCCTGGGATCAAACGATCCACCCGCCTCAGCCTCCCAAAGTACTGGGATTACAGGCGTAATCCTGCAATCCATACCTGGCCAAAAACCCATTTATACAAAAGTACTATTTTTTCTAGGTGTGGTGTAATCCTAACACTTTTAAGAGGCTGAGATGGGTGGATCACCTGAGGTCAGGAGTTTGAGACCAGCCTGACCAACATGGAGAAACCCTGTCTCTACTAAAAATACAAAATTAGCCGGGCATGGTGGTGCACGCCTGTAATCCCAGCTACTCGGGAGGCAGGAGAATCGCTTGAACCCAGGAGGCAGAGGTTGCAGTGAGCTGAGATCGCACCACGCCACTCTAGCCTGGGCAACAAGAGTGAAACTCTGTTTCAGAAAAAAAAAAAAAAGTACTATTTTTTATTTCCAGTTGAAGATGTGCAACGAATCCAGATATCCAGATCAGAGTCTCTTCCCCAGTAATAACATAATGAACAACAACAACAAAAATTCACAAATAGTAAATCTATACACTCACCTGCAGCGAGAGAAGGACCGGAGAAGCCTGACTCCCCGACGCTGAACGCACAGCTTGGTCGGCCTCACACTGCCACACTCCCTCTACCCTCACCTGTCCTCATCTCTACCCCAAAGAAACTAAGCTGAATGTAGCAAATCCTAATACCTCCAGGAAATATTTCCCTGTATGGAGACACATGGCCTGAGGGATTGAGTAGAAAATCCAAGAACTTCTCCAAAACAGAAGCCCCTGTCTTGCTGGCCCCTAAGATCTCGGCATCCCAGAAGGAAAACCTGCCAGTAGGGCCACAGGTCAGGTCCCCAGAGAATGGGGCTGGAACAGCTGGATGCAGTGGGGTTCTCTCATGCTCCCAGGCTGCTTCCAGTTGGAGGAGTGGAGCTGGAACGGAAGGCAGGGCTTCCCCTCGCCCCTCTCTCAGACAGTACCCTGCAGACACCAGCAGCCTCTGCAGGATAAGGTGAGGCGGGTGTCAGGTCACCGACAGTATGAAGCTACAGGCAGGGCCCCTTGATGCTGTTCTGCTTTAGAAATGATAGGCCGGCTTGGGGCAGTGGCTCACGCCTGTAATCCCAGCACTTTGGGAGGCCGAGGCGGGTGGATCACAAGGGATCGAGACCTTTCTGGCTAACACGGTGACACCCCGTCTCTAAAAATACAAAAAATTAGCCAAGCATGGTGGCGGGCGCCTGTAGCCCCAGCTACTCTGGAGGCTGAGGCAGGAGAACGGCGTGAACCCGGGAGGCGGAGCTTGCAGTGAGCCGAGATCGCGCCACTGCACTCCAGCCTGGGTGAAAGAGTAAGACTCCGTCAAAAAAAAGAAAACAAACAAACAAACAAACGGAAATGATATGCCAATACTTGCATTTGGAGGTGACATTTTTCTCAGTGGATAAGATCCTGTCTACTACATTTTCTTTCCCCCAAAGTTCTTCAAACTTCACCATATACAAACATGTACAGAACTTCATACTTTAGGTACACTGCCAAAGGAGTATGTATGGCAGTCACTAACTCCCTCCATTCATTTTTGTATGTATTATCTTAATAGCATTTATTTGGCTCTTATTCAACATTTCAGAAACAAAGGCTACCATAATAATTAACATGAAATATACTTATGCATCCCCCATGGAGATTAAATGTTAACTTTTTGATCTATTATGTTAAATCAAGTTTAGCCTAAAGCTACCTCCTTACATATTTAAATTTGGCCTAAAGGTTTCTCTGTACATCCTGAACTATCCAAGTGGAGGTGTAAACAGACCGTAGCCTACTCTTGTGCCAATCACCGAGTTTTGGCCAGTCAAATGCAGCCAACTGTTTGAACTGTGTTCAAATAAGGCAAACGCCCAGCTGTAACCAATCCAGCTGTTTCTGAACCTCACTTCCATTTTCTGTAAGTCATTTTCCTTTTTCTGTCCATAAATCTTCTTCCACCACGTGGCTGCCCTGGAGTACCCTAGTCTATCCTGGCTGGGAGGCTGCTCTGTGCGTGAATTGTTCATTGCTCAATTAAACTCCTTTAAATTTAATCTGGCTGAAATTTTTCTTTTATCAATTACATGCTTCCCTTTTTAATAAAATTTGGCAAACTTACGTTGGATGGATACATAGATACATTATATTGTAAGTAAAATGTTAATGGTAGAAGCTAGATGGTGTCTATACAGTTCTTTGTGTATACTAGAACATTTTTATTATAAAATGGTGTAGGGGGATATGCTTGACAAATACAGTCAAACACAACCCATCCACCCACACCCCTGCCGTGTCCTCACATATCCTGGAGTTATGTATAGTATTTTTGCATTATTTTGTTGTTGTTTGTGTGTCTGATTTTTTGAGATGGAGTCTTGCTCATTGCCCAGGTTGAAGTGCAGTGGCACAATCTCAGCTTACTGCAACCGCCACCACCCGAGTTCAAGTGATTCTCTTGCCTCAGCTTCCCAAGTATCTGGGACTAGAGATGTGCATCACCACGCCCAGCTAATTTTTGTATTTTTAGTAGAGATGGGATTTCGCTGAGTTGACCAGGCTTGTCTCAAACTCCTGACCTCAGGTGATCCGCCCACCTCGGCCTCCCAAAGTACTGGGATTACAGGCACGAGCCACTGTGCCTGGCCTTATGTATGTTTTTACACTCTTTCCACATATTTATTTATCCATATACTATAGATGCAATCATGTATGTTTTCAAAATTTTCATAAATGGTTCATATCCTTTTGTAACTTGCTCTTTTTTATTTCACTATAAATTTTGAGATTTATGCTGGTAGTACATGTATATTGGTGAATTCTTATTAACTATTATGTCCTATTATACACAAAATAAAAAATCTGTTTCCTCACTCTCCTACCTACATTTGGGTTGCTGTCACTGTTTGCCTCTAACTCTTCTATACACGTCTTTCTGTCCCAATTTGTTGAAGTTTCTTTCTTTCTTATTATTTTTTTTAATGTGATGGCCATAAGGGAGAATTGAATTCTAGCATTTTCAACCTCTGGAGTGAAGTTTTTAGCAACGTGGAAACGGTGGGTCCTGCAGAGGCACCTCCAAAATGAATGTCTTAAACAGAATTCTCCAGGGAAAGAGGAAAAGAAATGAAAAGTCTCTTTGAAGAAAGGCAAAGACTGAGAAGGGAGATGAAAGAAGGCTTCACAATCATAAAAGCAAAGGTAGAGTCTGACTCTAGAACTAAGGCATAGAAGAATGTGGCTTTAGAAGTTTGAAAAAAGTACAGAGTAAATTTAGGAACAGTAAAGTTTTGTTTATGGTGAACACACCATTAGAATAGATTTTCATTATGCAAGTTCAATCAAGGACAGAATATTGAACGACCGAAATGCCCCATATTACTTTTCTTTTAATGCTTGATGCTGTATGGAATATTCTTACATCCTAAGGAAACTCAGTGATAGAACCTGAACATTTTTTATAATAAACTAAACATCTCCCAACTCCTCTTCACACTCACTATTTTGTTGAACATTAAAAAAAACCTATGGTGCCACTCTTATTCGTACTTCACAGATAAAGCTGCTGAGACTCAAGGAGTTTACAGAACTTGCTCAGGGCCACCTGGAAGGTAAACAAACTACCAAGTCATTAAGCTGCAAAGGCCAGTGAAGCAGAAACTATGCTGGTAGCCAGCACAGTGCCTCACGGAGGGGACCTCTTGCAGCACGACTTTGGCTAATCGTAATGACAAGGACAATGGGACACACAGAACCGGTGGTGACATAGACCCAAAGAGGTGACATATGGAAGCATCACATGGCTGCAGAGGAAACAGAATAAAAAAATTTATAATGAAGTCGCTTTTCTGTAACCTTGGCGACCGTCACTATAGTTTCAAGAAAATGTTTTTCTACACATTCAAAGCATCATCCATATGTTGGCTTCCATCTGTTGGTTTTCTGTGCCATATCCCGGCACCAACCAGGTGTCTCAGAGCCCAGGAAGCCCTGTGATTAATTGTGCCTGTCCAGAGCACAGCTCAGGGACGTGGTTTTAAGAGGAAAGGTCATGAAGCCCACATAGGCTATTGCAAATGGTGTCACAGCACTACTCACCGATCATGGAGAGCGGGAATCTTGGTAGGACACTGTAAATATTGCTTAAACCGGAGCTCAAAGGCTTGTCCTATGGAGCCGATGACATCCTGGGCCAGCCCATCACAGCATTCCAAAATGTGACAAGCTGGGAAAGCAAGTGACATGGGCCTATTAGAGACAGACACTGGTGCTACCTAGACTCCTCTACAAAGAGCCCTTGCTGAGGTCAGAGGGACAGAGAAGTGCATGCTTCTTCCATAATATGTCCTAGCAGATCCAACCGCAGCTTCATCTCTGGGTAGGGAATCCTATGGCTACAACATTTCACAGTAGGCATGCATTTCTTAATAGCCTATTGTCTACAAAATTATAGGTTTCATTTTTAAATAAATTAAATAATTTTCAAGTTCAGTTTGATGGTCTTCAATTTCTTTAGAGTCTATAAAGCATCAGTTCTGATGTCAATAGGGAAAAATTGTTTAGAAGGAGACTTCAGCATGACGAAGAGCCTGATCTTGACATGAACTAGGCCCCTTTAAACCCATGAGGCCTTAAAAAAACGGACTGGAACCAGCACCTGATGAATGAATCTTGATTTATTCAGTGAATTTAGAGCAAGTTGTTCACTTACTTCTTAGTGGGGGTAAAGTGTTGACCACCCTATGTGGCCACTCAAAACAATAAGGAAACCTTTGAAGATGAATATAAAGAGATATTAATTATCAGTGTGACATGCCAATAACATGACACATGCATCTACATAAATTTGAGACTGGATATTCATGCAGATTCTCAGAAAAGCAGCTTGTGTAAAGAGTAGATAAAAGTTAGGGGTGGCGGTAGGCCAAAATGAGGCCACTCCAAGGCTGGTGGTGAGGCCTGGAGCAGTCCTTATGCTCAAAGCAGGCACCAGCTGTTACACAAGGACATGCTGTCCTAGTGGCAAGGCTGTGGGATTATCTATGTGAAACTTTCAGAGAAAAGAGGGCCAGCCTCTGCCTCATAAGGAAGTAGTACTTTTTCTCCAGGGTCCTGGAAAATACCTCTAGTCTGCAGACCCATTTCCACCGTGCCCTACCACAAGCGTCCATGTGTCCCTCCTGAAGGAGCCACAGGGCTGTCGCCATGAGGAGCCTAGCATGATCTTTTTACCAATGGGATAAAGGAATTCTCGGGAATTCCTGGGAAGGATGACAGCTGCCTTTATCACACACCACCTTTCTCCTGCAGACAATCGCATGCCAAGGAGGGGTTCCTCCAAAAGCCACATTGGCCCCTGCAGTGAGGAGGACACATTTCCTCATGAGTTGTTCCCCAGCCCCGGCAGTGATTAGGGAGACACGGAACTGTGCCCTGCCTATAGGACAAGCCAGTACATACTGGAAGGACGAAAGCTGTCAGGGAGGGGATAGAGAGACAGACACCGCTGCCTCTGCACAGTGTGGAGCCTCTCAGCATAACACAGCACTGGGACTTTACCCCGGCGGCAGCCAGCTAAGCCCTGGGGCCTCAGCTACTTCTCCCCCAGAACCCAGGGCAGGGTGACTTCTGTGGACACAGGAAATGTATTTCCTCGGAAGAGCAAGTGCGAATGTATTGCTGCTTTGGGTGGCAATGCAACCCCTTGGATACAGCAGTCTTATTTTAGATATCGCCAAGAGATTTGTCTACAAAGTTTCAGGCATCCTGGTTGTCTTTTTGATGATCGGTTATTATTTTAGTATTGACATTATTTACTAAGTATTGCCCCCAGGTCATCACAAAGCAATACCAAGCAGCTGTTACAGTTGTGCAGGTCACTGACAGGTACACATGCAACCATCTTTCCAGCTAAGAAGGAAGTAGCAGTCCAGGCCTGAGCGAAGGAAAGCCAGTGAGACACCTCGTTCCCCTGACCTGTCCTGTGCCACGCCCCCCTGGCCCTGCCATCCAGCATCAGCACCAGCCAACAGGACTGGCTGGTCGGTGTTTTGGAGAACCAGAAAAAAGACTGGAAAAGGCTCAGACAGGGTAGCTTATTTTTTTAAGGAGAAAATAGGTACCCTAGCCTTTAAGATGAAGAATGAAGAATACGATCTATTGAGAGTGGGCTGTACAATCTCATCCACACGCCACTAACCTTCTACACACCTGAGAGCACGAAGCCTGGGAAGGGGCCTCTGTGGGAAAGGTCCAGGACATTTGGAGCAGATTTGGGCTTGAGGTAAAAGCACTCTACATGCTGAGAAATGGGCCATGTTGCTCTAAGTGACTAGTAGGGCGGCAGGCCCTGCAGATAGTGAGCAGACCCACGGACTCTCGGGAGTTAACACATGCCTGCAGCTCCTGGCACCTGGCAGAGTCCTCAATGAACAGAGAAAACAAGTCACCTGTTGCTTTGGTCTGAGGATTTCTTCTACAAAATGGCCTCTACACGTTCCAGAAACTCCCTCCAAATCCAAAGTTAAACCTGGACTTTGTCTCCCTGGGCCTGGTATTTCTTCTGAGAGTGTTGACACTTAGCCAAAAGTCACTGTCTTCTAGCCTGCCCTGTGTGATTTGATGTATGCACCAAATAATGAGGCCTTCCCCAAAGGCAGTCATCAAGCCTGCTGGGCTTCACCTCTCCCTGAGGAAACAACAAAACCAAAGATGTCGTTCAGAAGCAATGGAGAAGAAACCGAGAGAGATGTGCAGCGCATTCATGCACAGAATCGAGATTCCAAATGACGCAAAATCTAAAACACAGCTCAATGCAAAGGTCAGCTAAACAGGGAATTCCACAGTCCTTCTCATTTGGGGAAACTGCCCATTGGTGAAACTTGTACCAACGGCCTGCAATAGTTCATTTACTTAGAAGCAAGGATCCTTTGCCAACAATCGTTTCTCTCTTGCTTAGCCCCGACCAATAAAAAAAGCTGAAGCCACTCTCTAAGAGGATTAGCCCAAGCTGCCCCGGAGCAGCCAACTGAGCAACGACATCAGCAAGGGGACTCTCAGCAGGTCACACCACAAGGACTACTCCATACCTGAGATGGACAACTTGAGAGCAAATCACTCCCTTAGGAATGTGTTGTGGCCCTGTAGACACACTGTAGGAGCTGGGAACATGGTGGCTTTCTGCCATATGGTAGCTCCTGGCATGTCAACTCTCATCTCCTGCTCCCTGAAGAATGGTTAACAGTGGCGGATGAGAAGGCAGTGCCCAGATGCATCCCAATCCATGAGACTGCCAATTCTCAGCTTCATCTCCCCAAATAAGTCCAGAGGCTAGTAGCTGCTCCCAGCTTGGTGCTCAGGGCTGCCCCTGGCCATCTGCCTGCCACAACAGGGCCTCCAGTAAACTGGTGTGAGGCTTGTTCATCTGAGCATGCTCTCCACACCCTCCCTGTGACACCTATTCTGTGAGTCAGGGTGTGCAAGTTATGCCACAGTAAGAAACAATCCCAACGTCTCTGGCCGAAAGCAACCATTTCATTCTTGCTCACTCATTTCTGGGCACCTCTCTAAGGCAGCCATCCTCTTGTGATGACTCAGTGGCCCAGGCTGGTTTGATCTTTTGATCCTGGAACTCAACGCAAGGCCTTTCCCACAACCTGCGGAAGAAACAGACAGCAGGGCCTTGCACCAGTACCAAATGCACCTCTGTTCTGCTCCCAACCCGTCACACAGAACTGTCATGGGCTTCTCCCAAGCAGGAGGGGGCTGGCAGATGCCATCTTCTGCAAGTTTGGAAGGATAGGAGAGCAGGATATTAGGAATGCCCGTCACACCCACTGAACCCCTTCTCTAAGTCACAGGTATCCATGCTGCTTCTCACTCACGCCTACCACAAAGAACTTTCCAACCATGCATCCCCAATAAGTGTCTATTTATAAATTATTAACATGCGTTCCTGTATTAATATTATGTGTATTATAAAAATATCTTTTAAAAGATATCTTTTGTCTTCAAAAAGGTTAAAATAAAGAGAAAAATAAAAGTTTAAGCTATCTTGTTAGCCGTGAAAGCATTACACTGTCAGTTAGTATCTCAAGACATAACCACATTAGGTTATTACGATGGATAAAAATTCATCTTTCCATCCTGGAAATACATTTCTTAACCACTTTGAATGTGGAAGGACTGATTTCTTTTTTTTTTTTT